CTGATCTAAATCATCAACTGAAAATTGTCTTTGTGATATGTTCATTTCTAGATCATTTATAAGAGTTTGAACAGAATCAATCTGATTAAGAGCATGTCTTTTTAAATTCTTAGGATTAGGATAAATCCTCATTCGTCTTAACGACCTCCAATATAGTTTGGGATAGCGTTCGGTTTCTACATATTCTTTGAAAAATTCCAACGATGTTTTCGCTTCAGCGAGCCTTGCACTAAAATTCAGGTACTCATTGAGTGCATTAAATGCAATAGAATCCCCACAAGATTTCAATTTATTAAATATTCCATAGTAAAATTTAGAACAACATATTTAAGCGAACAATACTGTTTTCAATTAGATCTCATCAGGCTTAACTCTAATATATATAAGTTTACAAATCAAAATGCATATATAAACCAATCATGGTGTTTTGTCTATAGGATAATACGATGGTGAATATAAATTGTGCAATTAGTCATAATAGTAATAATGATAATAATAATGGTAATAATAAAAATGGTCTTATCAATAGTAAGGATGAAAAAGTGAGGCAATCTGTGATAACACGAATCATGAAAAACAGCATGATTAAACAAACAACTGTTCAGGTGGAAGTAGTCGATAAAGCCTAGTAAAAACAAATGAACCGATTAAGTAATGTTAGATTGTAAGGGAAGGAAATGTATTCAAAAAAAGTTCGTACAGCCATTATCCCTCCCTTAGCCTATTAAGACATAACCAACTAATGACTTCTACATCACCCATTGTTTATATTTTCAACCCCTTTCTTATTATCCCTTAATCTTATCTTCATTATAAACGTGTTTCATTTCCTTCCCTTACAATCTAACATTACTTAATATTTAGAGCGAACAATTGTTTTCAATAAATTCTTCTTCAGGCTCTACAATTATAAATCCATTAATTTAAGCATACAATAGCCAGTAAAGGCAAATTAGAATCATATCAGAAAGTGTACTGTGGAACACGCATAAGATGGGATGGAACAATAGTCAGATAGTTTTTTCAATACGCATGGTCATAAGAACATGGGACAAAATCAGATGAAGTAATTTAATTTAGTGATGTGTACACATAAAAAGATTATCTGTGTTCGATCATAGGTGTCTACGTTCTATCTCCCGCGTGAAGTGGTATAATAAGGTGAGCAATATTGAGGTTAGGCGTCGAGTGCTAGGTAAGGCAGGGAAATCAGTCGACGAGACTGTGAAATTACATCGACTGAAATGGTTGGGACATGTGTTACGTATGCCTAGTCATCGCCTTCCTCGCCGAGCAATGTTAGCTGATATAGGGCCAGGCTGGAAAAGAGCTAGCGGCGGTCAAACGAAAGCATGGCACCAGTCAATGAAATCCACAACAGTTAGTCTAAGCCACGTAGGAAGATGTAGACTTCCTGGTTGGGGTCCTCGGGACGGTAAAAACCAATGGTTGGAAACAATTGGTGACATGGCTCAAAATCGTTCTCAGTGGCGCAGATGCATCCACTCCTTGTGACCTATGATTTCCAATTAAACTGTCTTGTTCTCCGTTATTACTATTCCTTTGTCTCACACCTCTGTCTACTGTCTCTATTACGCATTTCTTCTCTTGCTTTGTGTGCTACATGGAGTGTAGCGACTTGAACTGCCGCACATATGTGCAAACTTACTTTTTTACTTTGCTTCGGCTATCTCCTACGGAAGGATGAGCCGGCTTCATGAACTTCTCAAATCATCGCTACCCAGGCGCAGCGATCTGATGAAGAGAGTTTACGAAGTTTCATGGGAATTTGGTACGAGTGATGTCCCCAGAACCACTCGGATATGTGCAAAGTTCTATGTCGAAAACCGACCGAGATGATAAAATTTGTCTCAACCATTAAATGAGGTAAATGAAGTCATTCAACTAGGTAGACTGTCATGATTGTGAAGAAGGACGCTTCGATGCAATGCAATTAATACAAAAAACGTTATGCCTTATGTAGTGTAGACTAACTAATGCTTTCAATCATGTAAGGCTGCATGACCAACCTCAAAACCATTCAAACCCAGTGTCAGAATGGTTACGTAACTAAGTTGTTAGTAGAAATAGCTCTCCACGAAGCTATATAACATAATCCTATTCAGCAAGATTTTGTATGGTTGAAACCTGAAAACATCTCTGACGAAAGGCGGAAATATAAAATGTATTTTTGACGGTAATGAAAGGAAAACTAGAAAGATTATTTCTCTCATATGTGAACACACCCATCGCAAATACAAAGCATCGACAAAACATTAGTTACTTCGTTATATAACGCAACTCATGAAAAATTGAGCTACAATAGTATTGTCGACAGTCCTCAAACGGTGGTCAAGGCATGAATTACAAGATTAACTAGGATGTATCAGCCAATTAAAGTTGACTGTTGAATATATTTGGCATATTTTCTCACGGCTTCTTCTTGTTCTTCATCAATTGATTTCGGCCTAAGACGACGCAATTCTCGAATAGCTTCACTTCCACTAAGATTATTTTTGTAAGCAAGATAGCAAGCTAAGATTGTTCCTGCACGACCTCTCCCAAGTTGACAGTGAACACCAACTTTCTAAAATGCAATATTGTACGGTGATATACAGGCGTTAATACAGAATATGTAGTCTAACGAGAAAAAAAACCTAAAATAAAGGCAGCATATTTGTACATACATGAAAATTATGTTTGTAAAATCTCGGCAAACTGGGACGAACTTCTTCAAGGAAATTAATCGGAATTGAAGTAACAAGGGTATATATATGTATATATATATATATATATATATATATATATATATATATATATAGACTATTTTCATCAGTGATTTCTTCAAACATGTGGGATATGGCGGTTGTTAATCTGTTTATAAACATTTTTATATTTAAAGGTATTTAAAGCAGTTACCTACATATTATTTTCACGAAACACAATTGACCAGACATTGATTCCTAAATTTAGTTCCACTGTAATCTGATAAGACATAAACCGTACATATAGCACTAGCACTTGCTAGGCCGTAACAAAATTTAATTAACACGATATACCCAATTGTTTAAACCGAGCCAGCTAACAGTTATTCGTTCGGTGTTGAGTGGTGGAGCCTAGGAAGCGTATTTCACCTTATTTGTGGCTTAGAGCTGGCTATGTAGCGTCCTCACTCAAACTCATCAACCATCGCCTGAGAGTACTACCTACTGGGCTGCTGAGCCATAAAAGCAACGTTTTCTGAAGCACGTATTATTTAGACTGTTTCTTTGTGCTCCACACTATCCGTAGTCAATTTATATACACTGAAGTGATTGATGTCTGTTGCAGTAAGGATAATGCTCTGATGTGGGTGCTGGGTCTAAGTCTCAAAAAAGCACCACTGCTCCCTAGCATTCAGATACATCTAGCTGTACCTGAATTTCACTGTCAGTCGTCACGAAATAGCTCAAGCGAACATAACAAGACATCCGTTTAATGAAACCACATGCCAAGAGAAATTAATCAATCTGGTTGGAATAAAGTAAAAACTGGGAATCGCAAGTACAAACATAATCTAATTAGTATATTTAAGCACATAGAGTTGTACGGTTTTGATGAGATTTCATAATGATTGGAAAAAGACATTTGACAACATTATCTAAGACTGTGTAAAAATGTCTAATGATGACTTTACTACCAAGATTACAAAAAATACCCGGTTAGGGTTATATGAACTTCCATTCAGGTTTACTCATGGTGAAAAGCCCAATATTTTGGGCTACATTCCAAAAGTTCCTAATAAAAATAGATAAATAACAGTTTAGTTAGTCAGTGAAACTGAGGTTGAGTGGCTGCCATTCCGGTGGCTATAATAGTGAGCCACAAGTCTACCTGACAAAGCAATGATTTCTATATTTTATAAACAACATATCCGACAGTAGAATTTACCTCATTTTTTGCTTCAGCCTGTTTGATTATTTCCATAGCCTTCTGAATAATAGGTAAACTTGCAGCAGATAGGTCTTCTACTGGCAGGTGATAATGTTTCACTGTCAAGAATGAAAACAGGTATTATTATAACCAGCAACGTCGTCAAGTCTAAACAGATAACATACCCAAAAGAAATACCTTAAACTTATTTCTTCTAGATTCCTACTGTAAAAAGTAATTGTCATCGAGCATTTAGCTATAGAATAACGATAACTTAGAGGATTGCGTAGGACGAAACTGTTTACATCCGATTTCGAAATTAAAATTTCGTTTCACTAATCTGATAAAGTTGGTAAATTTACGTACTTTATACAAGATATATTTTTAAAGATTTCCACAGGTGATGACGTTCACTGAAATAAACAAACTATGAAATCAATCAAGTCCGCATACACGTAGGAACTCAGTTTGTCTGAATACAGTACAAACCACCTAGTGCGCAACACACAATTTGGAAGCTATTCGCTTCCCATAAATTATCGTAAATAATCCCCTTATTCCCAGTTAATCATGACCCAACCGATAGCTGCTACTTTGACGTGGTGGTCGGGCTTGCATATCGCAATGACTCAACAAGCTACACTGGCTGGAATTGATGTTCCTGCAGGTCCTACCATGCCAGAAAGATTGTTAGGATAGCTATTAGACTAAAAGCTGTAGATATAGCTGTGAGGGTTGTTAATAACCTAAAACCAAAAATTAGTAGGAGCCAGCAGATTTCTACTACACTAGGCAACTTTTTAGACTCATCAGGGAAACGGGTGGGAGAAGGCAAATCATAAGTGAGACTATTTGTGAGAAAAATGGCTCCTTAATTAGCTCTCAGGATAGACGCCTCGAACGCTGGAAAGAACACTTCGAGGAGCAATTTAACTTGCCTACAGCCACACTGAGCCTCCCCGTCATCCAGCACACACCCGAATGGGATATAGACACTGGCCCGCCGTCTGTAAGTGAGGTCACAAAAGCTATCTGTAATTTGAAACGAGGCAAAGCGGCAGGACCCGACGGAATTATTCCGGAGGTGTTTAAATATGGGGATGACATACTAGTATATAGTTTAACTAAGGTACTAGGTAACGTCTGGGAATCAGAGACGGTTCCATCAGACTGGGGTAAGTCACTTATCATACCAGTATTCAAGAAGAGAGATAAGTCCTCATGTGATAATCATAGAGGAATCAGCCTAACGAACATAGTCTCTAAAATCCTAGGCTCAGTAATCATGAACAGACTAAGCCGAACCCGGGAGGAACAGACGAGGGAAAATCAAGCGGGCTTTAGGCCAGGTAGAGGGTGCATAGATCATATCTTCACTCTCCGACAAATCCTAGAACATAGGCACACTTTTAGGCGTCCAACAATTGCCATATTTCTTGACTTGAAGGCGGCCTTCGACTCCGTGGATCGAGAGGTACTATGGCAATGTTTGACTATGAAGGGAGTGCCAAGAAAGTACATTGCACTAATCAAGGCACTCTACTCAAACTCACGTAGCTGTGTAAGGGCTTATGGGGAACTGTCATCTGAATTGATAACAACCAGTGGTGTCCGTCAAGGATGTCCACTTTCCCTTTTTCTGTTTAACTTCATCATAGATATGCTAATGGAAGTACCCTTAACTGAACTTAACGACTTAGGAATCGACTTGTTACCAGGGAATAGTCTTATAGACTTAGAATACGCAGACGACATAGTCCTGTTAGGGGAGGGCGCTGACAAAATGCAGAGTCTTCTGAACACCTTGAGCAGCAATCTTCGTATGTTTGGCATGCGATTCGCCCCTGTGAAATGTAAGATGCTGCTACAGGACTGGACTACGTCAACTCCTAGCTTAGTGATAGGGAGTGAAGTGATAGAACATGTTGACCACTTCACCTATTTGGGAAGTTGTATCAGCACCAACGGATTGATTGGTGACGAAATCACAGCACGGATCCAGAAAGCTCGGGCTGCTTTCGCTAACTTACACCGTCTCTGGCGTAGGCGTGACATCCGGCTGTCAACCAAGAGACGTGTATACTGCTCAGCAGTTCGCTCCGTCCTTCTCTATGGCGGTGAGACGTGGCCATTGAGAGCGGAAGACATGAAGAGATTGTCTGTTTTTGACCACAGATGTTTACGATCTCTTTCTCGCGTTAGGTGGTATAATAAGGTAAGTAATGTTGACGTTAGGCGTAGAGTGTTAGGCAAAGAGGGAAAATCACTCGAAGAGGCTATGGAGTTACATAGATAGAGATGGTTAGGTCACGTGCTGCGCATGCCTAACCATCGTCTCCCCCGACGGGCATTACTAGCTGATATAGGTGCAGGTTGGAAAAGAGTAAGTGGTGGCCAAACAAAAACTTGGCATCAATCCATGAAATCCCTGACAGTTAAACTGAGTCAGGTAGGGAGATGCAGACTTCCGGGTTGGGGCCCTCGGGACTCTAAGAATCAATGGCTGGAGACAATAGGCGACATGGCTGAAAATCGTTGTCAATGGCTTACGCAGATGTATTCAGTCTCTTTAACCTTCATATTCCTTTCTACCATTACTCATTCTGTTTCACTCGTATACTTATCTAAATTCTATTGATTCTCTTCTCTCATTTTCCTGTCTACCTTTGTGTGCTATTTGGAACGTGGCAACTCGAACTGCTGCACCTCGGTGCCAAGTTCTATGTTGAATCCAGCAGCAGCAACTACCTCATCCAAAATGATTAATGCAAGAAGACTGATTCCGGCGAGGAGTGAAAACTGCCCAAACGCCAACTAACGAGAAGTCTCCGCAACGACCGAGGACAACGATGGGCGACAAAAGCGAAAGAGATGGGAAAGACATCGGCGACTGGTGACACCGGACTACTTAGACTTATCAAGGAAACAGATGGTAAAAGACGAACGACAAGTGACAATCTCTGAGAACAATGGCGCCATAATTAGCTCTTAGGATAGACGACTGGAGCGCTGGAAAGAACACTTTGAGGAGCAGTTTAATTGACCTACAGACACGCTCAACTTACCGAACATCCCACACCTCCGCGAATGGGATATAGAGACAGGTCCACCGTCCCTAACTGAGGTTACTAAGACTGTAACTGGTCTGAAACGAGGCAAGGCAGAGGTACCTGATGGAATGACTCCAGTGGTGTTTAAGGACGGTGGCGAGTTTACCGTCTGCGTTAACTGAGGTACTAGGCAGCGTCTGGGAATCAGAGAAGGTCCCATCGGGTTGGTGTAAGTTATTGACTATCCCGACATACGAGAAGGGAGACAAGTCTTCCTGTGAAAATCACGGGGGATTAGCTTCACCAATATGATATCTAAAGTTCTAGGCTCCATAATCATGCGCAGACCAAGCGGTGCTGGAGGAAGAAACACGAAAAGTCCAGGCGGGCTTTAGAGGGTATATCGATCATATCTTCGCCCCTCGACAGATTCTGGAACATAGGCATGCTTACAGGCATCCAACAATCGTCATATTTCGATTCCGTCGACCGAAAGGTAATATGGCGATGTTTATCTGTGAAAGGAATGCCGAGGAAATACATCTCGCTGATCAAGGCACTGTACTCTCACTCATGCAGCCACGTGAGAGCCTACCAAGAGTAGTCACCTGAAGTGGTGACAACCAGTGGTGTCCGCCAGGGATACCCGCTGTCCCCCATTTCTGTTTAATTTCATAATAGATGTACTAATGGACTTAACCCTAACTAGCTTCAGTGACTAGGAGATTGACTTGTTACCAGGGAATAATCTCGTTGACTTGGAATATGCAGATGATATAGTCCTCCCTCCTAGATAAAGACGCAGACAAAGTGCAGTCTTCTGAACATCTTGAGCAGCAGTCTGTGAATTTTTGGCATGAGATTCGCTCCCGTCATATGTAAGATGTTACAAGACTGGACCACATTGACTCCTACCTTAAAGATAGGGAGTGAACTGGTTGGCGGGGCATGTTGACTGCTTCACTTATTTGGGAAGTTGCATCAGCCAGTACCAACGGGTTGACTGCTCACGAAATCTCAGCACGGATATAAAACGCTCGTTTGGCACTCTTCAGCGAACTTACGCCATCTCTGGTGGAGGCGTGATATTCTGCTATCAACCAAAAGGCATGTGTACTGCTCCACAGTTCACGCCGTCCTCCTTTATGGCTGTGAGACATGGCCAATGAAAGTGGAAGACATGAAAAAGCCAACTAGTTAGCTGTCTTCGATGATAGGTGTCTGCGTTCTATCTCCCGTGTTACGTGGTATAATAAAGTGATCAATATTGAGGTTAGGCGTCGAGTGCTGGGTAAGGGGGGGACTCAATCGATGAGGTTGTGAAGATACACCGACTGATACGATTAGGACATGTGCTACGCATGTCCAGCCATCGTCTTCCTCAACCAACAGCTGACGTGATCAGTTTGGAAAACATGACCTTATCAGTCAATGAAATCCACAACAATTCTTTCAAGCCAAGCCGGGAGGTGTAGACTTGGTTGAGGTCCTCGGGATAGTAAAGACCAATGGCTGGAGACAATTGGTGATATGGCTCAAAATCATTCTCAGTGGCGCAGAAGCATCCACTCCTTGTGATTTATAATATCCAATAAAACTTAACTCCCTCATATTAATATTCTTGCCTCACATTTCTGTTTATTATCTCTGTTTTGAATCTCTTTCCTCTCTTGCTCTGTGGGCTACGTGGTGTGACAACTAGAACTGATGTACATCTGTGCAAAGTTCCACGATGAAACTAGTCAGTCAGTTAAATATGAATAGTGTGAGATCATGAATCCTATCATGAATCTAGCCAATAACAGTTAAGAAATGTGGTAAATAACGTGAAATGAGCACAATCTACCAGGTGCAGTGAGTAGTGAAACTTAAATAACTGTAGTTAGTCCTGAAGTCTTAAGTTAAACACTGAGATTAATCTAACTAGCTGTGAAATCCTGGTGTCCAAGGGATCATCTACAGATATTGGTTGACACAAGACCAGATTAGCTAAAATTTAGTAATGAAATCGGAACCTGGCAGTGATCCCCGAAATCTTTGACTGCTGGTTTGAGTCACGTAGGGAGTTGTACACTATCTCGTTGAGGACATCGAGTCGCCAAGAACCGATCGCTGGAGACTTTTGCTTTCGCAGCTAAAAATCGTTCTCAATGGCGCATATGCTTTCACTTTTTATAAACTCTTACATCTATCTGTCTCTCTTTATTCGCTATGTACGTGTTTCTTTCCGTACATTTTCGTTCATTATATTTACTTCGCATTTTTCTTTCCCTCTCCTTTGTGTGCTATATGGTGTGGTAAATTGAATCTCTGCACTTCTGTACAAAGTTACGTGTCAAAAACGCATTTAGTTTGATGTGTAATACACATGTTACTAGAATCTTAAGAAAAAGACATGATACAGCCGGGAATCCTTCCCATTTACTTTCATTTCCTTTATAATAATGCACGTCTTATTAATTTCACTACAACCTGTGTATAGATTATAGAGCAAAAATCAGTAATTAGTCGTTTGAACAAGACTCCAGGTCCACAAAGCAGTGAATAGTTTGAGGTCAGGACTGTCACTATTATTATGCCGTTGAGCACCACGGAATCATAAACACTGGCGACAACACTGCAACACTTCACGCATGAAGTAGTACTTTAACCAAGTACTACTATCAAACTATCGCAAAGGAGGCAACCTGATATTACAATATTTTTTTATTATTTTGATTACAGCTTGATTCCACACCGTATTTTCAGTACAAGTATGGAATTTTCAGCATGGATATCGGTAGCCCAAATTTCAGGCCGACCGTAGATATCGGGTGTGCGCCGGCAGGGGATCCGTACCCCGGACCATGTGCATGGTCGGCGAGAGTCCTAACCACTGTGCCACCGACGCATACTCAGTAAAAGCCTATGTACTGATTTACCCAGACTATTTGGTTCACTAAATAAACCACCGAAGATCGTGGACATTACACATAGCCATAACCTGAAACGCTGAACTTAGTGAGACAGAATTATCAATGCATTGCATAGAGAAGTGAAAGCGGACTTACTCTTTAAATCAGAGGGGAAACTGGGAGCCTCTTGGCACATAGTTATAACATGTGATATCCCAGCATCATGTACTAAGTATTTCATTTCAGATTCTTCGTATGGAAATGCGAATCCAGCCACAGAACTCGACACCCATGAAAAATTATTTGGTGGACGAGACATTCGTTGGAGCGAAGCGACGCAATAGTATCAGGACTCAGTTAAGGGAAATTACCCAGATTATTTTTCCAGGAATAAGGATGTCTCGTCGCAATAACTGTAGAACCCGCAACTGTAACGCAACTTTTCAAGCTAAAAAAGCGTTATGGAGCCAAAAGCGCTTGCGCACAGCCTTCAACCTATCAACAGCGATAAAACGGCATGTTTGGATGAACATATATTACACCTGCTAAACAATGATGCTTATGTTATAAGAAAAACTCTTTATTTTTAGTAGTCTTGATATTCTTCCTAGTAGTTATTCTTCATAATTAACGGGCTGAAATTATCCCGTATGCTCAAGGTCAATGAGATATCTCTGCTCACCGACTCCCCTATGGTCCTATACGCAGATGACTTGAAAATTTGGAGAAAGCTGAAGGGCAACAGTGATACGTCCACGTTGTCAGAGTGGTCCACAAAGTGGATGCTCTCGATCAATGTGGCAAAATGTGCAACCATGCGCATTGGACAAGCAAGCACGAGCTCCTACGAACTAGAGGGAATAACACCTCCATCAGTTCAGACTCACTTGGACTTAGGTGTCATAGTTAGCCATGACTTAAGAACTACATCACACTGTCGTGCGGTGGCCGCATGTAGTTTCAGGTCCTTATGGGCAATTCTCCTCCTGGTGAGGTCAAGACTGGAAAACTGCATCCAGGCCGCCAGTCCTTGTCTAAAAGGGGATTCACAAATTCTAGAAAGCGTTCAAAGGAAGGCGACACGTATGGTTCTCGGAATAACTAATTGATCATACGAGGAAAGACTAGACAGTTTAAATCTCTTCTCCCTGTCATACCGTAGGCAGAGAGGAGATTTAATCACAACGTTTAAAATTTTAAATAATGACTATGGACCTGACCTATTCTCTTTTTTCCTTTACATCAGGTCGGAACACTTTAGAGGACATACCAGGAGAGTTCAAAAGCCAAGAAGAAACCATATTGCTCTTGAGTACTGGTTCTCACACCGAGTCATAAGCTCTTGGAACCGACTCCCAGAAGAAGTGATGTCTGCAACCTCAACTGACTCGTTCAAGAAGGGTTTGAACAACCACAGAAATTTACTAGAAAAGGATTAACATAGGCTACAACTTCTTCTCAACCAATAAATCTGAAATCTGAATTGGAAGAGTTAGGCACCTGAAGGTTACTTTCATCCATTTTAGTCGGCCATGTTGGATTGACATTCCTTAACCGTTCATTTACTCATTGGCTTTTGCGTTTATCCTGCAGTTATTCACAACTTATCTGGATACAAACTGAGCGAAGTTCAACAATAGCGTCCTAAGAGTGTGAACATCCCAATGAACTTGAACGCATGCCAATCGTTGGATAACGGCATATGGCATTATCATAGCTGGAATATCAACGCTATTCACCAACTTAGGAGCAAATTTTACTCAGATCACGTTTTTAAGTACTGTTTGGACAATGTGATAATAGCTCGTTAGGATTAGTATCATTGTTCACAAATATCACGTTCCACCTCATTTGTGTTTCCGTTGCAGTTGAAATTAGTTATTTAGTTTGTTTCTAAAGCTTTTATCACCAGGTCAGTTCATTCATTTCTTTGTAATTATTTCATACGTTGCATTCATGCGTGGTTCCAGTGTTTTAGTTGTTTTTCAGCTGTTTTGAAATGATACTGTGTAGAAGTTTTGGAAAATATGCACGTGCACATGTTTGGGTGGTAGAAGCTGTTGTTTCCAGTTCAGTTGTTGGCTGCCGCTATTGCCGCTGACTCAACTGCTCACTTAATACGTAATAATCTGGTAAAAACAATGTCTTTCACGTCCATGTTTACAGCATGCAACAATCTACGAGTGAATCTGGTGAAGAGAGCACTGTCAATGGAAGTGAACATTGAACGTTTGTTTTATTGGGACTGGCAACCATTGGCGGGAAATTGAAGGCGCGAATGGAACGATCGCTTGCAAGTTGAAGGAAGACTGGATTTCAATACGAATAAAAGTACTTTATAACTTCATTTGTACTTAACACTTGTTTGCAGACTTTGTAGTTTTCTTCACTTTAATTGTCAAACAATATAATTTCGTTCAAGGAATATTGGTGTTTTGGATTTAAAGTTGAAGGAAACACATAGTGTTTATCGGTTCAATCGCTTAAGTCTTCGTTACAATAGGAACTTAGGCCTAAGTTCCTTGACAAGCACTGCCAGAGTTGACATTAGTAAGGTTTTCGAAGAGCATATCAAAACCTTGAGAATTAAGAACCAGGTCCGAAGTTGAAGAAGCTCTGAAGCCTTTCTAGAAGATGAGTATACCATTAGTGTATCTGTTATCAGTTGAAAAATCAGATATATTATGAGAAAATGTAAGTCAAACAAGATTGAGCCACACGAGATGCGTGAATATGTTGTGCTTGTATGTATTTTTGGGAACAAAACAAAATTAGAAAGCAACCAGAAACCTCTAAAGGGTAAGTGTTACCTGTGCTCGTTAATGCCTAATGCACTATATCCAAATACGTGAGCTAGAACTGTCTGTATTAAAGCCAGTGCTAACAGCCATTCAACTGATTGCAAAACGACTTAAAACGCGGATAACATACGATGATCTGGCGAGTGTACGAACTATCCCAGTTAAAGGTAAGACTTCAGTTAGCATGAATAACGTTTCGGGTTGTGGTCTACAATCGGTGGTTTTTTCGAAGTTACAGCCTGCCTTCCGATTTTCGTTACAAAACACCCTTCACTCTGCAGGCCACAACCTATGTTAGATGTTTACCCAGTCACCCATTCTCCCCTATCATAGCGAAACGATGCACACTTTATGGAACACCAAAGAAGTCGTCGTTATTTAAGTGTTTATTCTACCAAGTGCTTTTATACAAACAACTTTTAGTTAATTCTTCTGCTAATTTTGTTAGCAAATTCATGTCTTCTACGACAATGACGGGAGATGTCGGAGATCAGACAATTACCGCCAAGAAAGACTAGTTACACAACAGCCATGATTACACTAAAATCATAACGTCAAGAAAGCAAGCATGTTTACATTCGTTTTGATCATAAAATTGTTCCCTTTTTAACTTCATTTTAGTCGACTGTTGAAGGCAGTTTTCAGCCATGCATTACCAGTGAATGCATGAGTAACTCTCGATGCCCTATTTAATGTCTAATTACTTCGCAAAAATAAATCAGTGAAGCCACACCGGATGTTATCATCACTACCTCAATTCAAATATCTTAAATGGCTTATGTTGTTATAAGTGGAACTATTTAAATTGATGATAAAGTTATTCTTAGTCTTCATGTATTGACTAAACAATGTCACCAATCAGCTCCCCAAATTTTATCCTTTCACGAAACATTAAAAGATCCACTGCCCAATGTGGAAAGACATGTAATTAAACTGCAGTAGTTATATCTGTTATTATTCCCTTGGGTGCCGAATGAAACTCGGGGCTTCAACAGCACATCTCCACTTTCTTCCATTTTCTATCGTCCTCTTCACCTGGGTCTGCGATCGCCCATAATCTCTCACCTCCTCTTCACACGACCTCCTCCATGTCACCCTATGACGACAAGCTCGTCGCTTCCCGTTGAGATGCCACTGGAGAGATGCCTTGACGCACCATGTCATTCGATGACCTCCTCAATGTATGCCCAATCCATCCCCATTTTCTCCTACATTTTTTTGAGCAATCGGCTCTTGGTTCGATTGTTACCAGAGTTACTTCTCGCCAATTCTTTCTGGCCAAACGGCAATTTGATCTTCAGCATGGAGCGGAGGCAACTGTTGATAAAAGTTCGCAACCTATTGGAAACGCTTTTCGTGGCACGCAGTGCAAATTTTTGACCCGTATAGAGGCAGTGACTGACCTTACATTTGTGTTGGAAATCCGAATCTTGTTCTTCATACTGGCTGAGTGCAGGAAATTTCCACACTGGTTTCAGGTTGATTAAGGCGTATCTTGCCCTTCTGATTCCGACTTTGACATCTTCCTCCGTTCTGCCTGTAGCCGAAACGATGCCTCCTAGATAAGTTAAAGAAGTAACCTCTGTCAAGTCTCTCCCGCTGATGGTGATTAGTGCTGGTTATTGTTGCGGCTCGTTGGCTACCTTCATCACCTCCGTCTTCTCTGTGTTCACCTGCAGTCCTGTCTCCGCTATCTCTTCATACATGACTCTGAAGAAGTTTCCACGGAGTGATATTTCAAGGGTTTTTCTTGTCACCATACGTGGTTGGTTACTCAGATTATAAGAGACTTCCTGTTAGAATCCTATGTCCGTACTCTCCGAGGATGGCACTGTGAAAGATATTTTAGAAGAACATTAGCTGTATACTAAGCCGTCTATTCCAGAAAGGTGCCAAGATCTAGAGGCATACACCATGAAATGTAGTCTTTCGCACAGTCATACCCAAAAGGTTTGGACATGAAAGATTGTCAGAAACTTTCCATTCTCAACATGTCAAATATATGGCTGCTTCTGGGAATAAAGTAGGCAGTTTTCTGATGCTGGTCTTAAACTTGCTTAGTGTAATATGAGCTAATAATAATATTCTATTCACATAAATTAAGCATTTACATGACTGACATACCGTTTGTACAGGCATGATCATATTTAACGAGTTCATTTTGAAATGGAACACTGTTTACTGACATTAAAAATTCGAAAAAAATAAGAGAAAACTCCAGAAACTTAATAAGAATAAATTACAAGATATTGGTTTAAGTCTAAATTTTTATCTATAATATACTTATAGTCAGTCAACTTCATGCGGGAATTACGAAAGGTTGCGTTAATGGAAGGTAAGAAGAGAGATGATACGCAGGTGCTAGAGTAAGACACACAGGATGCAGAGTTTACGATCATTATCATTAGACCAATTAATGGTCGTAGCACTTTCTGTTTACTCATCTTGAGAGTATCCCCGACTTGTTCGGAAAATGTTCGGTCACTAAAGCACCAAAATTCTAGGTCAGGGTTACTTTGGATTCTAGGTAGATCACCTGATTGGAACGTTAATTTATTGTCTGTTGGTGGTGCTTCGTAGCAGATCCAGTCAAATGTGTTTGGGCTGAAATGTGGGCCCCATAAAGATGATCACGCTGTCATCTTATCCAGTCCATTCTTGACCACAGTCTGAAATACCCCAGGTCATTACATTGGAATGTCTAAGCCACCTTTGTGTCAACTTCAGATATAAACGGTTAATCATTTGAGAAGCAAGCGCATATATCGTCGATATATGGTGTAAATGGGAGAGGCCATTTGACGCTACTGTGAACTACACCAGTGGTGATTGGTCTACATCTGGAAGAAGCAGACCTTTTGGGGCCTTTCGTTGGAGAATGACTTGGGAATTCAGTTTACGTTCCAGCAACAAACAGTCGACG